CCCATGCCAGGCCCCCCAGCCCAGGTCTCCAGTGCCAGGAAGATAAGTCCCCACAACTTCTGGCTGTAAAAACCAGCAGGGATTGAGTCGGTGGAAGAAACTGCTGGAGACCCAAGTAGTTCCTTAAAGAACCCACACACGGATGCACTTACTCAGACTCACTCCTTTGGAGCTCCAGCACTGGGGTAGCAGCTTGAAAGGCACCAGTAGCATAAAGGGAGGCACTAAAACTTCTGGCATCAAGGCAAGCAGAGGCTATTGTCTCTTTTCTAAAGCCTCCCCCCACAGAGCCAGCAAGCTGGTGCCAATATTTGAGACTCCCTCAACATGGCTAACACTGTTTGACCGGCCTTGGAAGTCCCCAGAGACTCCACCCCAGCCAGCTTACAGGCCCACTCAAGCTGCTTTTCCATATGAATGGCTGGTTTTGGCTCCAGCTGCACAATTTCCTACATCCTATCAAAACAAGCAACAGCTGGCCTCAGTGAGCCTCAGGTCAGGCACTAGCAGCAGCCAACCTACATTCACAACTAGGCTTCACTGGGGAATCTAGCTCTAAGCCCAGCACAAGTAGCAGCCATCTCAGATTACTTTATAACACAGGCAGGGTGGGGGCTGACCTTGGCTTGTACCACCTGGGAAACCCCAAGGCCTGTGCACCCAGTGGAGAGCTACAGACCACGTCAGACCACCACCACCCTGCCCCTGCACAGCTGATCCTCCATAGAGGGCAGAGGTTGGTGGTCAGTGGTCACAGCCAGTCCTTGCAGCTGACTGGGCTGGGTAAACCCCTCCAACTGATCTGCCAACAGCAACCAAGGCTCAACTACAAGAGGAGGGTGTACTCAGCCCACATGAAGGGTGCACATCGAGTACCCGGTTTGGGTGATAGAGGAGGCTGTGCTACTGGACCCTACAGGACACCTTACTACATTAGGCCATGCTACCAAGACAGGCAGTCATAGCAGCTCTACCTAATATATAGAAACAAACGCAGGGAGGTTGCCAAAAAGGGGAGACAAACAAACATGGCCCAAATGAAAGGACAGATCAAAACTTCAGAAAAAGAGCTAAACAAAGTGGAGATAAGCCATCTATCAGACGCAGAGTTCAAAACACTGGTTATAAGAACACTCAAGGAACTTAGGGAGGACCTCAACAGCATAAAAAGATCCAGTCAGAAACAAAGGATACACTAATTGAAATAAAGAATATTAACTTTATTATTCTGAACATAATAAAGTTATTGTTTTAGGCCTGAAAACAATATATGGGCTGACAGAGTCAAAGTAGTGAAGTGAGAAGGCACAGGTGACCCTGCCTGTGAGTGTGGCTCGGCTAGCTGGGCACTGTCCTACAAAGCAAAAGATCACCAATTGATTCCCTGTCAGGACACATGCCTGGGTTGCAGGTTCGGTCCCCAGTCAGGGTGCGTGCAAGAGACAAAACCAATCAATCTTTCTCACGCACATCAATGTTTCTCTCCCTGTCTTTCTCTCTCTCCTTCTTTCTAAAAATAAACAAATAAAATCATTAAAAATAATAAAATAAAAAGGTAAAAATAAAGCACAGGTGGTAATAAGAGGCACTCACGTGTGGGGAGGGGGGCAGGCTCGCGGAATAGAAGGTACCAACAAGCACAGAATGATTTCTGGTTCACCTCCACGTGCCTTAAGCTTTCTTGCCTGTGAAATGCGAGCAGCACCCACCCACTCTATCACTAATGCTCTCCAAGGGCTCCACAAAGGGTAGCTGTGTTATTATAGAACGTAAGAATGCTGTATTGAGAGGCTGTCCCACCTGACAGGCCACCAGCCATGGCCCCTCACAGCAATTCTACAATCGCTGAAGGTTTTCTGCTTGAATTTAAATTAACCACAAGCGTCCACCATCCTCACTTTGTAAATGGCCATTTCCCCTGTCCTGGGTGATGTGTGTCATAAAGCTCCCTGAGGGAATGTTTGGGTCAAGCCTGTTTTGTAAACTTTGATTATGGAAAACTGCAAACATACCCACAGAAGTAAAGAGAGCAGCATGATTAGCTGCATGCACCCACCAACCATAGTCTTCAGGTGACCAACGTAGTCTCCTACACCTCACTAGCTTCTGTGAAACAAATCCTACCCAACTGCATTTACAAATGAACAGGTCAGTATTTATCTCCACAGGACAAACCACCACCATCCCAAAATCACACCTTCCAACAATTTAAGAAGCATTCCTTCATCTGTCAGAGTCACAGTGGTTGAAAGCTATAGCACCACCCGCCCCCCATTTCAATCATGCCTTGAAGAAATTAGGTCGTTTAGCCTATTTCCCACAGTCAGGTTTTGCTGGTGGCATCCCTGTGGTAAATACCACACGCTCCTGATTTCCTTTAAACTAGATTTTGAGGCCCAACCAAGCACGTGCACACTCCTTGGGGGCTGGCCACTGAGGATGCTCGCTGTTGGGAGCCATCATTTCATTAGGTTATAATTTAGAATCCCATCACTACATTTTAATCAGCCATGTCAATGGCTGCAGTGCCCATTAGCCATACATGGCCATTTGAATAGATTAAAATTAAATAAAATTAAAATTTTACTTCCTCAAACTATTCCAGATGTAATACTAGACTAGACATGGGTTCATAACATTCCAGAAAAAGTTCTGTAGGGTAGTGCTGATCTGTGAGGGAATCTTGCCCTCACCCACTGTTTTGCTCCTTGTGAGTTCAGTCCATAAATAAGAGATAATAAATGCTTGCTTCGTTCCCTCTATTTACCAATTATCAAAATGAGGTGGTTACCTAACACACTCCAAAGGGACCAGCAAGTGAGCAAGTATCTTCCTTCTCTTTGAGCACCAATATGAACACGGATTTTTTTACCCCTTTGATGCTCCAACTCAAGACTCCTTGTTTTCCCTCACACTCACCTGCCCCACCCTTGGCCAAGGAGGCCCTCTGTGTCCTTCTGACACAACTGGGATGTTCAAAGCAGATTTTGAATTAAAACATTTTAACTTAAATGCTTTGATTCTATATTCACATTTGTATTTCATGCTGCAAATTCTGGTTCTTAGAGACATTAATGGCTTATTTTCTTCTATAACATAACACTAAGACTGCTGGTATTGTTAACCTGAAATCAAATATATTATTCCTAAAAACAGCTAAAGATTTTTAAGTTTCATTTTGCCTTCATGATGTATCTCACTAAACCACTTACAGTCAAACTGTTTAAAAAGCATGCAAAATAAATCTGAGAGATTAAGTCACCAACTTGAATTGCAACTGACATGCACCTAGATTCACTTATTTCATTTTGCTTTGGTTTTTAGGGATCTCCACCCCTCCTTTGACATTCTTTTATTTTATACATATGTAAACACACATCCAGCGCTACGCAGAAGGAAACCTGCATCCGTCTCCAATGACCCTGTCTCAACTCATCCCTCCTCCCAGAGGTGACCATGTGGCTCATTTATATAAGCAAGTGCGCATAGGTCCATATCCTCCCCACCTTTCCTTAGATAAAAAAGGGAGTTCGTGATAGCGTTTTACCCTTCACCTTGTTTTTTTTTTTTTTCCACTTGTCATTTCACCCTAGAAAATACTGTCAGCTGACAGGACGATCTCATTGTGACTTTGCTGAGGGGCTCAGCTCCACCCCATCAGTCCCAACCGACAAACCCCAACTGACAAACACCTAAGTCATTTTCAGTTTTGCCACTTCAGAATGTTGTAATAAAAAGCCCTATCACAATCTTTATTTTTAACAATGTATCTTTGGGATAGATTTTTAGAAGTGGAATTGCTGGAGCAAAGGGTGATTCCCACTCAGAGGAGTTATGAAATCCCAAAGCAACATACAGGGGTGCCCAATTCCCACCAACAGAATCGTGTCCACCTCTATGGACAAACGGTCAGAAATGTTTTGACCATCCAACAACCATTATTAGTATCAGAGAGACTGAGCATCTTCCATACTTTGGTTGGTTAAGGGCCACCTGCATTACTCTTTCTGTGAACTGTTTTTATCTAAGTCACACCCACTTTTGATTCTGAATATCCAACACAAGGCCCATCTCTTGGCATGTGAGCCATGCGTACCTGCCAAATGAACGGGACCCAACAGGAGAACTTCAAGGGTGAACACTGAACACCATGTCTACTAGCCCAAGCAGGCAGTCTGACCCTGTGTGCACACCAACAACCACGTATGATGTGGGTGTTGCGTGAAGGCTGTGTGTGCCTCATGGCTTGCCAGGAGTCAGCTCTCCTCCCGCCCTGCTCCTCTCTTCTGTGCCCAGTATGTCCTGGGTGACAGGAAGAAGGAGACCCCAGTTGACCACAGGCCACAGTTCAACTGAAGTGGGTGTGAGGTGGTGCTAACGAGAGAAAACCTAAAGTAAACTGATTTGTTGGACTGACTGATACCCCACAACAAAAAGCACACAAGCTGACATACTTATAAATCTTTTAAAAATTCCACCTGGATAGCGGGCTCTGACTGCTGGGTCCTGAGAGCCCTTGACAGAGCCTGCATATGATGGCTCTAAGCGGTGAGGAATAGCTTCATTTCCCCACAGACATAGGATGAGATAAGGGCAACCAGCTCCAAGCACCAGTGCAAGGCCTGCACTGCTGACAATAGCAAGGAAAAATTCTACCAGTTTTGGTCAGCATTGGGAAATCACAGAAATGCCCAGAGGGTCAAGGCCACCTGGCCGGGATTATCCCCTGCCCCTGATCCTCACAGAGGATGGCTCATCCTATTTAGGCCAGGGCTTTTCAAGTGAGTGATCCCTGAAACACAAAGCAGGCGGGGTCTGGGTGGCCCCATGGAGATTCTTAGCACACAATCCTGGAGGACCTGCCTTCCTCCATTTCATCTAGGAGGTGGCAGCAGCTTCCGAAACAGTGCTCAGTTTCATCAAATGTCCAAGGAGCTGAACGAGGCCCGTTAGGCAGGTCAGAACCTTCATTACAGAGATACCAGAACCCAAGCACTCACCTGGCTTCTGGGCATGGGACTCTGGTCCTACCAGCAGGCCATGGCAGCAACTACGTAAATGGCAACCTGTGTCAACGTGCTTGCCAACCTATAATGGAGGACAGAGTAAGAAACACTGAGTTTCCAAGGAAAGTTTCTGGAACATTCTGGTAGTTTTAAATACCTCCAACCCCTAGGATTACATAATGGAATTTCAGAGTTCAACCAAAACTCTGTCTCAGCTATCTTCCACAGGGGGCAGCTGAGGAAATAAATTTCTTCAGTCTGACCTATGACCCGATGCGGTGTTAACCAATAAACACCAGCATGGCAGATGTTATCTTCAACAATATGATGGAGACATGAGGTTGAAGACAGCCACACATCCACATGCCAAATACACAGAAAATGGTTCAAAGTTTGATTGTTAACGGTAATATCATGAAGAGCAGAAACAGTAATACTCCGCATTTAATAGGTGCTAAGAGTGAGTTCCAGGTATTGTTCTAAAAAACTCGGCATCTCTATGAATGCCCAGGACAACCTTAGAGGCTGGTTATAGAATCATACCCATTCTACAGATAAGGAATCTGATCTATCTGATACTCAGGAACTTGCCCAGAGTCACCTAGGTCTCCCTCTCCAGAAATGACCTCTTTGTTCCCTGGCACAGACCCCAGAGAAATCACCCACCATTCCAGTCAGTGCAGGATTTGCCCTTAACAAGTTGAGGGTGTAGGGTGGGGACTGACACGCTTCACCTTCTAAACGGAGGCAGCATCACCTTTGTGGGGCAACTCACAGTTTTACCCCAGGGATCATCTCCACAGAGCTAATGCTGCCAAGGGAGGAAGGGGTTGCCCGTTTTACACACAGAAAAACTAAGGTTCAAAAATGTTTGGAAACTCTCCAGAGGTCACAAGACATAGCTGGTTTCAGGACTTCCCATTCTTTGTGACATCAGACGTCCAGGGCTCCAGTCACAAAAGCTAATTAAATCCATTGAACCAGACGAGTCCTGGGCTTAGTTTTGTCAGTATCACCTCTGCTGTCATTCTTTGCACCCACATGATACCAGAGCTTGCGTGATATAAAACCTTTATATTTAAACTGGGTTCACAGTAATTCATAGCTCATGGATGGTGAGAAACACTCCCACAGGAGAACTTGCAAAATATATCAGTGAACTCCTTGGAAAGACCTTTGGGCACCAAGGAGCACACAGTGTCCTCCTGAGTGAGGTCTGGGGCAGGAAACACAGTGGATGAAGTTAATCCTAGTTCTTTCATACCTCCCAAGCAGCGACCTCTCTCTGCCATGGAAGGGAAGCCTCAGAACCAAGGGCCCTGGGCTTTCCGTGCAGCTGCTCCTTTCAGGATCAAGGTCAATACAAAAGTCAGCGGTATTTCTACACATTGGCAACAAACAACCAGAACTACAAGCTTAAAAAAAAACCCAACCATTTAAAACAGCATAAATGTGGAATACTTAAGAATAAATTGGATTTTTTTAAAAAATTGCAAGACCTATAATATAAAAACTATAACAACTACATTCTTGAGAGAAATGAAAAAATAGATAGGTCTTGTCCATGGGTAAGACATATCAGTTTTCCCCTCTAAATTGATCCAGTTTAATGCTGTCCCCATCAAAAATCCCTAGTACGCTTTTCTGTAGAATCAAGCAGCTGACACTAAAATTTATGTGGCAATGTAAAGGACCTAGAATAATGAAAGCAACATTGAAAATGAAGAACAAATTCCGAGGGCTTCCCCTACCTGAGCTTAAAGACTTACCATAAGGTTGGTGAGGAGGGAGGAGGGGACTGTTTGAAAGAAGGTGAAGGGATACATGAAGGACTCATGGGCATGGACAATGGTCTGGGATTGACTATGGAAATGGGACGGGCCGGGCAGAGTGGCCAGAAGGGGAAAATGATGGGAACTAGTGTAAAACATAAAGGAAGGAAGGAAGGAAGGAAGGAAGGAAGGAAGGAAGGAAGGAAGGAAAGCAGGCAGGCAGGCAGGCAGACTTACCATAAGGCTACAATAACTAAGTCTGTGATATGGACATAAAGACAGACATGTAGATGGAATGAACAGAATACACCCATGAACATGTGGACAACTGATTTTCAACAAAGATCCGAGTACCCTATTCCATGAGACCATAAGATTCACTGGACAACATATCCTGGCAGGGTTAACCAACAAGGAGGAAGGTCATCTTAATCTGTTATCACAACACACACAGTGCATCCTGGGTAGAGTGCAATATGCAAAGAAGTTTTGAGGTCACCTCAGACCATGCTCCACCATGGCTTTCCCAATCTCTTAGCTCATGGCACACCTAGTCTTCTAGCTGCTCAGGTTAAAATCTGGAGTTGCCCTCTTGATCAGACTACCCCACTATCCAGTCCATCCGGAAATCCTGTTGAGTCTGCCATCAAACACACCTGGGGTCGAACCGCTTCTCACAAGACCCTCCCTCCTATAGTGGAGGACAGCAAACTAAACCTCCTTTCACTCCTTGGCTCAAAACCCTCCAAAGGCCCTTCATTCATTTAGAGTGAAGCTTGAATCTCCCCTAGACTTGGAGGCCCACCCACCAGCCACCTGCTTATCCTGCTCCAGCCATGCTGGCCTTCTGGCCATGACTTCAACACACCAGGCACCCTCCCATCCTGGGGTCTTTTTACGTTTTAAACAAAATCCCAGATCCTTTATAATTTTAACAATCAATTCTTCAATTTGCACCCCAAATTGAAAACGACCTTTGAAAAAAAATAACTACCATACAAAAAACCCTAAATATCAACAAATGGCCAGTCCATATTCAGCTCACGAAATTTCTCAGAAGTGTTTGTATACAGCCCATTCTAACAATAGCTGTCAGCGCATTTGTGCTGGCTGCTCCCTCTGTCTCAATCACTCTCCTCTGAGATGGCTGACCTACTCCATGCCCCCGCCGCCACCCCCCCACCCAGCTGCTGCTCAAATGTCTTCCTCCCAGAGGCCCACCCTGCTCCTTCTCTCCTACAGCCCTGATCTCTCTGCACGCTCCACACAAGGCAGCTACTGTCTCTATGGACTTTCTCACCTGACAAAAACATAAATGCCACAAGGAAAGAGGTGTCTGTCTGCTTGATGCCTGTTTTATTCCAAGCACCTAGAACAGTGTCAGATGCATACCAGGTAGCCAATAAATACTTATGGAATGAATGAGCCACGATGGTTTAACATTTAAGTAACCAATCTGAGGAGCAGCAGACCCTCAGATACAATTAGTGTGAAACTCAAAAAGGAGCCGAAATTAAGCACACACCACTTAGCACCCTGAGAACTGGGAGTATTTCTCTAAAATAAACTATAATCACTATTCATTGATATAGCATTTGGACTGTTTGCTATCTACCCCTACTGGCCTGGTTTAGACAGCTTTTACTGTTTTTATTTCTAACCCATACATTTAAAACAGCATCAAGTAACCCGTAAGTACACAATTACCAACTCATAAGAGACTCTTCTGCTCCCCTGATAAATCATTATGGTTTGGCTTTGACCCTGCACCTGGGTACTCCACTTACACATACGCGTGCGCACATGCACACACACACACCCCTCTCCCACACCAACTCTGAGACACACCCTAACACAGCAATTTCCCAGTCTGAAAGAGATTACACTTGGTTAGAGGGCAGCCATGATGATTTACGTGAAATCAAGTTGCTGCACTTTGGGCAGCAGAAGTCCTGTGTTGCCATCTCATCCTCTGGAGCTCAGGCAAGTAATGTCAGCTCCCCTTCAACTAGAGGCAAGGAGCCCCAGCCAGACACCGCCCGCTATCTGGGGGGCTCCAGTTCCGAGGAGACTCTTGGGTTGAAGCTCCTGTGGCCAGCACAGAGTGAGGTCTCTGGGGCCATGGGCACCTGACCAGGAAGCCTGGGCTCTCCTAGGCACTCCCAAAGGGCCCATCATCCCTGCCAGAGGCCCAGTCCTTATGGAAGTTGCACATTTCTGGTCTCCTCCTGCACGAACCAAACACTTGCGCTGTTGCTAAAATCCTTTAACTGTGTCTGCACCCAAATATTTACCACTATGGCTCAAATCCAGTTCTGGGAACATGACATTTGGAAAATAAACTCTGAGGCAAAACCCAACAATTCACCTTCTCCTACCCCTAGGTCCACGGTCCACTTGTTCTGTGCAATCCAAGTGCCCCTGAAGACAGGGTCAACCTAGACTCTCTCTGTCAACAGCCTTACCAACTGTTCTGCCAAACTGTCAAGGAAGGGAACTCCCTGGCTGGCCCTATCGGAAAGGGAGAAACTGAGGCAGAACAAACTGTGAAGCATCAAGAAAGCCCACAGGTTATACTGTTCCAACATGTACTGGCTAATTGGGGAAGGACTGAATTTGGTTTTCTAATCTGGGGTCAGCAAACTACTGTCTGGGCCCGTGGTGGCGAACGGTATTCCTGGGATACAGCCATGCCCACCCGAGTAATGCACTGTCTACCAGCTGCTTCACCTACAGAGTAGAGCTGAGTAGTAGAGACAGAGACAATACAACCCCAAAAGCCAAAAATATTGAGTACCTGATCCTTGAAAGCAGAAAGGAACTGCAGCCCTGATGGGATATGCTAAGTATTAAAGAAACAGAGAGGACGCAGCCACAGTGGCATGACTGAGACAAAAAAGGCACAGGCACACCAAGGAGGTACTCCAGCTCCATTTGGCCCCAGAGGACAAAGCGGTACCTGCTCCCCTCCCCTCAAGGTATGGCGCCTCATTAACCTGCAGAGCAGGAGAGAGCATGACTCGGCAGACTAAAGGCAAAGAACCAGCCCCAAGAGGGCCATGGAGCCGACAGCAACGCCACACAAGCCCATCCTTGGCAACCAGGGCTGGCCTGTCTTCACTGTCAAGCCAAGGTGTGCACTAGGGTAACAGCCAGTACGTGCTCTCCAGGGCCCTGTCTGCCCCTGCCTGTCCTCCCTCAGCCACAGTGTAACTGCAGCCTCATTGAGGGACAGATCCTCTACTCTCTGCACTGCACCAACGAGACCATTTCTAAAGCCCCTTGAAACCTCCCAATGCTAGCAACACCT